CTAAATTCATCAGATTGACCTCAATTTTCTTTTTTTTTTTGCAGTTAAATTCATAAATATAATTAAAAGTTAATTTAATGCATATTTACAGAATAAACTTCTATTACCGAAAATCAAATAAAACAATTTCAATGAAACTAAATAAAGTATAATGATAAGTACATGTGAAATGATGTAAATAGATTTGGGTATAAATAGAACTAAAGTATAGAAGTAAATCATCGCAAATAATCAGATAGATAGATAGATAGATATGTAGATAGATAGATAGATAGATATGTAGATAGATAGATAGATAGATATGTGATAGATAGATAGATAGATAGATAGATAGATATGTAGATAGATAGATAGATAGATATGTAGATAGATAGATAGATAGATATGTGGATAGATAGATAGATAGATAGATAGATAGATAGATAGATAGATAGATAGATAGATAGATATGTGGATAGATAGATAGATAGATATGTGGATAGATAGATAGATAGATAGATAGATAGATAGATATGTGGATAGATAGATAGATATGTGGATAGATAGATAGATAGATAGATAGATAGATATGTAGATAGATAGATAGATAGATATGTAGATAGATAGATAGATAGATATGTGGATAGATAGATAGATAGATAGATAGATAGATAGATAGATAGATATGTGGATAGATAGATAGATAGATATGTGGATAGATAGATAGATATGTGGATAGATAGATAGATAGATAGATAGATAGATAGATAGATAGATATGTGGATAGATAGATAGATAGATATGTGGATAGATAGATAGATAGATAGATAGATAGATATGTGGATAGATAGATAGATAGATATGTGGATAGATAGATAGATAGATATGTGGATAGATAGATAGATAGATAGATAGATAGATAGATAGATAGATAGATAGATATGTGGATAGATAGATAGATAGATATGTGGATAGATAGATAGATAGATAGATATGTAGATAGATAGATAGATAGATAGATAGATATGTGGATAGATAGATAGATAGATAGATAGATAGATATGTGGATAGATAGATAGATAGATAGATAGATATGTGGATAGATAGATATGTGGATAGATAGATAGATAGATAGATAGATAGATAGATAGATAGATAGATAGATAGATAGATAGATAGATATGTGGATAGATAGATAGATAGATAGATAGATAGATAGATAGATAGATAGATAGATAGATATGTGGATAGATAGATAGATAGATAGATAGATAGATAGATAGATAGATAGATAGATAGATAGATAGATAGATAGATAGATAGATATGTGGATAGATAGATAGATATGTGGATAGATAGATAGATAGATAGATATGTAGATAGATAGATAGATAGATATTAGATAGATAGATAGATAGATATGTGGATAGATAGATAGATAGATAGATAGATAGATAGATAGATAGATAGATAGATGTTGATGGTGGCTCAGTTTAGTGAATTGGTTGAAGTTAGGCATACTTCCAGATCAGTGATCTAGATGTTGAAATTACTGAAATCTCTACAAAATCCCTTCTTTTAATGATATGAATTTTTATAGATTATTCCAATTAGAAGATAGAAACCCTATAGTACTTATTAGTTGTCTTATTCTTATTCAATACTCATAACCTGTCAGTATCTATCAATGAGGAACCATAAATCTTCGATCTTGTTCCTTTGGATACAGATTTTTCAACTTTAATCAATGATCTAATGAATAATATAAAAATATATCTCGTTTAGCTTGATGATGAAAACATTTCAGTTGAATACCTATTCAAATGGACAAAATATCATTTTGTAATGATTCCAATCTTCCCATTAATGTTAACGACTTAAACTGATCAGTCTCATTTTAGTATACGTGTATTTTGAGTGGAATTTCTCGATATTGTCATTAAGCAGTAGGATTTTAAGTCAATTTGATAGTGGGTAACATTGAAATTCAAGGCGTTCATTTCATTCTATTCAGGATTTGTAATTTAGATGTACCTACATTTCAAAGTTGATGTTCACATCGTGACTTAATAAAGATGGCCTTCTATCCATCCAAAGAATGCGTTATCAACTTAACTACCGAATCCAGACAACCACTAAATTAAGTAACGAGAATGAATTTAATATTTTAATGGCATGAATCTTCCCGTTGATAATAAGTGCAGGAATTAGTAATTATCATTTTGGTATATGTACATTAAGTAGATTTCATTAATGTTGCCAGTGGATAACACGACTTTGCAGGTCAATGAAAAATCTGTTAGAAGTTCTAGCCCTGACATGAGTTTCAACACAGATGTAATTACATCAAGCTGACGTGTCCTAAATTAAACGAAACATGCTTGGTGGATCTCAGTCCTTGCCAGAATCCAAGTTTACTTACAAACAAAAGTATTATTCAAACATTTGTTGCCATTAATTCCTTAATGAGAGGCAGAATAACTAAAAATCTCACTACAATTTCTGTAAACAATCAACTAATTATTTTTACATCATTCCGAAATCTCAGCACGGATACAGACTGACTTTTTCCAACGTACGTCATTTATAGTGTAGGCGAGATATCCGTTTACCAACCAAAGGCTGGATTTACTGCACAGCACTTCGTTCTGTCCTACTTTATGGCAGTCAATCATGGCCGGTAAGAGTATAGAATATTCGTAGGTTACTAGTATTTGATCATAGGTGTCTTCGAAACATTGCTCGTATATCCTCGAAACATCGAGTAAGTAACGCAGTTGTTAGGAACCGGGTACTAAGTAAGGATGGCAAATCAATTGATGACGTAGTGAAACTTCATCACTTGAGATGGCTGAGATATGTGTTACGTATGCCTAAACACCGACTGCCTCGACATGTGATGTTCAATGGTATAGGAATAGATTGGAAGAAAGATAGGGGCGGCCGGACCAAAACATGGCACAAATCCATGAAGTCATTGACAAGTGGACTGAGCCATGTTGGTGGGTGTAGAGTACCTGGTTGGGGACCGCGAGTTGGTAGCAACCGATGGTTAGAGATGTTGAGTGACATGGCTCAAAATCGTTTGCAATGGCGCAGGTGCATCCACTCTTTGTGTTCTCCCAAATTCTAATCTTCTGAAGTCTTCATGTCTCTTTTTTTCTCTTTCACAATTTATTTCACTGGATTATACGCCATGAATAACATCTTCGAACCTTGATCTTTCCGATTACTGTTTATACTTTGACTACCTCTACCACTGTGGGGTGTGAATCGACAACTCCATCTCTATGTGCTAATATGGTATGGCAACTCGAACTGATATACGTATGTAAGAAGTTCTATGTTGTTGACTGACTGACTGACTGACTGACATCGTTCCTATTGTAATAGTTAGAGTACTTTTTTTGTTGGTTGCTTATTCCTTTAAAATTGTTAAAACGTACTTACTATTTGTTTGAACTAATGGAAAAAATACAACATTGTATAACTTGTAAATTGACAAACACATATGTGCATCTACACAAATTTTCACTAATTTTTATTCATTTGAACACTTAATATTGGTACAAGGTGGCACCAAATAGATATGCGCCACATAAATCATTCAATTTTTTTGAAAGCTGGGATACAGCCCGGGTGCCCAAACTAAATCAGGTAGTTTTCTTAGGAGGTCACACCCGAAGCCTTCCACATAAAGGTCTAATCCACAAGGCAGTAGTGAAGCAACATAAGGAGATGCAGTTCCACGATTGCTGGTGACCAACAATAGGTTCATACACCATTTGTTTCCATCAGGATCCTAAAGCCTATGTGCATCATTAGTTTGGAATGAGGGTTTCCTAACTCCTCTAGATGAACTTTTCGTACCCACTAAGATCTTCATATAAAACTATAAAGGCATTTTAAACAATCCCTTACTATGTACTAAACTATCTACACTATATTGAATTAGTTAGTAATATCATATTAAAATATCTTTCCATATAATAAATGAAAAATCAATAACCTTTTAATATTCAAAATGTTGACATTGTTGAACATTTTTAAGAAAAAAAAACTTAACCGCCATCATCTATCCATCAGATAATTTACCATGGTAACACTTAAATTATTATTTTATATTAACCAATAGGAATGAAGTTAATATTAGTGACCTACACACAAATAAATATATGCAATAATTCTGACCAATCAAATTGAAGTTCTTTAAGGTTCATTAGTATAAATATATATATATATATATATATATATATATATATATATATACATGTTGTCAAATTTGTTTCGAATATAATAATGAACCATTTTATTGCATAATAATAGACTACTCTATACATTCTTTTTACTATTTTTTTTAATATATGTAAGAATACAATATTCTGTGAACTAAAGGTGACATTAGTCACGTTTTGTGACACGGGATGAAATTCATCAGAGAGCATCAGTCCCCATAAGATTACAGGTACACCTTTCTGACAAGTGCCAAGTAGAACGAAACCTAAGTTTAGGGTTTCTTGTTGACTACCTCCAACCAACATCTTATCTCAACAAGTTTTGATTGTATGATAATACTATAACATGTGATATATGTCTAGTCTTTGGTGTTCTATAAAATATTATCGAACGAGTTGAAATAAAGTCAGTAGATTAAATGTGTTTTTGATGTGTTATTTTGTTAGATGAAGGTTAGGTCTCGTCCTAGTTCAAATTTGTAAACAAGGTGTATCTATTGTTTTGATCGATAAGATTAAAATCCATATCACTAAGTATTTCAGTAGGATACGTTACCAGTGTGTCATTCGGATTAAAAACGACTGGTTTATTGTAAGACTGAAATGTTAAACTAACTGTGGTTAAGTCACTTAGATTGATTATAGCACCCCAACTTGGTCGATAAGATTCGTTTAGAACTGCTTCCTGCTAACTATCTGATTAGTTCTAATGTTTGAATTCTTTTGGAGGATAATCACTTTCTGAACAACATGGTAAACAGATTCTGTCCATATTGACAACAACGACGTAAATTGTGATGATTTCGCGCGATTTCAAAAAGTTTAATATACATCATTTTAAAACTGTTCAAAGTAATCCTTTTATTTAGGTCAATACTTGAGTCTCATCTCTTGTCCACAGTTGTTCTAAATATCCTTGGAACTCCTCAAAGATAAGGGTTTCTAGCTCCCTCGTTCTTATTTTATGCTTTTGTAGAATCGTACTTCTTGAATACAATTCACCATCAAGCACACAGATAGAAAATCGGCGTTTGTTTGACACAAAAAGATGAAATAAATTTTTATGTTACCATTTTTGAATTTCCCACACTTATCATAATAATAAAGAACATAGTGAAGAACAACATTTAAAAATCCTCATCCTCTTTATTTGGTTTAAAAATTACTTATCCGATTGATTCACTATGATTCTTGATTTGTATTTCCTACCTATGAAAGTCACTCAAATAAAATAACTATTATTCGTTAGGATCTCGATAATTGTCTTGTATAATGATGGTATAGTAGAAAGTTTATTCATTATAAGTTTTAAATGGTCTGTCAGTCCGAAAATATTATCAGCTTAACTGTTCGGACTAAACGAGGGAGACGGCGATGACAATGATGATGATGATGATGATTTGGATGATTTGGATGATGATGCTTTGGATGATGATGATGATGATGATGATGATGATGATGATGATGATTTGGATGATTTGGATGATGATGCTTTGGATGATGATGATGATGATGATGATTTGGATGATTTGGATGATGATGCTTTGGATGATGATGATGATGCTTTGGATGATGATGATGATGATGATGATGATGATGATGATGATGATGATGATGATGATGATTTGGATGATTTGGATGATGATGCTTTGGATGATGATGATGATGATGATGATGATGATGATGATTTGGATGATTTGGATGATGATGCTTTGGATGATGATGATGATGATGATGATGATGATGATTTGGATGATTTGGATGATGATGATGATGATGCTTTGGATGATTTGGATGATGATGCTTTGGATGATGATGATGATGCTTTGGATGATGATGATGATGATGATGATGATGATGATTTGGATGATTTGGATGATGATGCTTTGGATGATGATGATGATGATGATGATTTGGATGATTTGGATGATGATGCTCTGGATGATGATGATGATGCTTTGGATGATGATGATGATGATGATGATTTGGATGATGATGCTTTGGATGATGATGATGATGCTTTGGATGATGATGATGATGATGATTTGGATGATGACGATGATGATGATTTGGATGATGACGATGATGATGATGATGATGATGATTTGGATGATTTGGATGATGATGCTTTGGATGATGATGATGATGCTTTGGATGATGATGATGCTTTGGATGATGATGATGATGATGATGATGATTTGGATGATGATGCTCTGGATGATGATGATGATGCTTTGGATGATGATGATGATGATGATTTGGATGATTTGGATGATGATGATGATGATGCTTTGGATGATGATGATGATGATGATTTGGATGATTTGGATGATGATGCTCTGGATGATGATGATGATGCTTTGGATGATGATGATGATGATGATGATTTGGATGATGATGCTTTGGATGATGATGATGATGCTTTGGATGATGATGATGATGATGATTTGGATGATGACGATGATGATGATTTGGATGATGACGATGATGATGATGATGATGATGATGCTTTGATGATGATGATGATGATGATGCTTTGGATGATGATGATGATGCTTTGGATGATGATGATGCTTTGGATGATGATGATGATGATGATGATGATTGGATGATTTGGATGATGATGCTCTGGATGATGATGATGATGCTTTGGATGATGATGATGATGCTTTGGATGATGATGATGATGATGATGATGATGATTGGATGATTTGGATGATGATGATGATGATGATGATGATTTGGATGATGATGATGATGATGCTTTGGATGATTTGGATGATGATGCTTTGGATGATGATGATGATGATGATGATGATGATGATTTGGATGATGATGATGATGATGATGATTTGGATGATGATGATGATGATGATGATGCTTTGGATGATGATGATGATGATGATTTGGATGATTTGGATGATGATGCTTTGGATGATGATGATGATGATTTGGATGATTTGGATGATGATGCTTTGGATGATGATGATGATGCTTTGGATGATGATGATGATGATGATGATTTGGATGATGATGATGATGATTTGGATGATGATAATAGGAGTACAAATAATTTGCTGAGATGTAGCATTTCTATAAACACTTTATAGTTAACAATCTTTAAAAGTTCATTTTGTATACTTATTAAACAATTCAATGAACCAATATAGTAATGAATACTCTAAAGTATAAGACGAAGTGGTAATTACATTTCACTACAAAATGTCATCAATTACAAAATGTCCCATTCTAATAAAAGAGGTAAAAAGTTAAAGTTTTTCTAAACAATCCTATTATGTCATATAAGGTCATTTCCATTAGAATACATCATTGAACATTGTTTTATTCATTGACAATGTTGAACAATATAACAATAACATTACTTGATAACTAAAAAAAACGAAACAATACACACCAACAATGGATCATCAATGACACTAATAACCTACTACTTCTTGAATTCATTCGACTAATTATTTCTAAATTCACATAAATTCTACTAAACATATAGACATGAATACATTTATAGACATATACAAACAAAAGCTGTCATATATAACCTTTAACATGAATGAAAAATAAGTTACGTAACATATATATATATATATATTTATAAGTTGGGGGGGGTTGTTGCTAGTTAGAAAGATGGTAAATTCTTTTGTAAAAACACTATGAAATCAACTAACAACAAATATCAGTTTAGGGTTTGTGGAGATTGTTAGCTTTTTTTAATTGAGATCATGAACCGAGTGTTGTTAGACCACCATTGAAAACCTGGAAGCACTGAACGGCCATTGGATGCTGGCTCAGTGGTCCAGTAGGTTAAACGTTTGCGCGCGAGACTGAAGGCCCTGGGTTCGAATCCTGCGAGCGGGATCGTGGATGCGCACTGCTGAAGAGTCCCACAATAGGACGAAACAGCCGTCCAGTGCTTCCAGATTTTCAATGGTGGTCTAACATCAATCGGTTGATGATCTCAATAAAAAATAATAATAACAAGTATTTATTCATATTATATTAAACAATGACTATTATAAAGTATAAATAAAGAAAACTTATTCAATACGAAATTGTAACCAAAATAGGATACTTAGAAACGATTATTGAATCAAAGCGACAACATAAGTAGTTATAATAACATACATAAAGAAGCTTTCAACTAATAATTGATTTCAATATTGTATGAAATACAATTAATCAGTACATGTATCATTTTCAATTTGTTTTAATTCGAGATCATGAATCGATTAATGTTAGACCATCATTGAAATCCTGGAAGCACTGGATGGCTGTTTTATCCCAGTGTGTGACTCTTCAGAAGTGCGTACCTACGACCCTACAAACAGGATTCGAATTTGGAATTAGACATTGACATAGTTGGATAGGAGCTAAGCATTGGTGCACCAGACAACAGGCTGGGGTTTCGAGTCCCGTGCGTAGCATCGTGAATGCCCACTGTTGAGATGTTCAATATTAGGACGAAACAGCTATCCAGTACTTCCAGGTTTTCAATGGTGCTCTGAAGTTGGTTTATTCATGATCTTGATCAAAATTCAACCATCTCCACAACCATACACTGATTGTTTTAAATCATTAGGAGTCCATGTGTAGTATGTATAAATTTCTCAATTATATATTAACTATAGAAATATATTTATTCATTCACTGTTGAACATAGATTTTATTCCTATCTGTTTCAATTTACTAAGTTAAGAAGTAAAGATGGGTGGAGACTAACAGTAGAATTTAGAATGCATATTTCGTCCTATTTGAGACTCATCGGCTGGGTGCACCTGCATCAGAGTTGATGTTTACTCCGGGACTCGAACCCAGTGCCGTCCGCTTCAAACGCCACCAAAATATCAACTTAGCTACTAAGTCCAGATAACCACTTGCTTGTGCAATCTGGTGAAGTTTAAACTCACTTGGTGCTGTTTTACTTGAATCTTCCCATTGATGTTTCGAACTGCAATTGACGAAACACGTGTCCTAACCATTATCCATCTTTACCTAGAATGTATGTGAATTAAGGCAATATCGAGACAATCCGAATAGGATGCAAATATGCCATTAAGAGACCGATACTAAACATCAATGTGAAGATTCAAGCAAACAATACCAAGTGAATTTATTAAACTTTCCCTTAAAATTAGGTCATCAATAACAAAGCATTGAAGTTATTTACATTTTACATCGTAATCATTAAATAATAATTCCAATACTATTTGATACAATGAAACTTTCCCAATGAAATCGTCTAGTTCAAGTAATACAACACAATCAACAACAAAAACAAACAACTAACAAAGTATCAGTATTGAGGTTGTGGTGATTATCAAGTTTTTGATTGAGATCATGAACCGATTGATGTTAGACCACCATCGGAAACCTGGAATCACTAGACGGCCGTTTCGTCTTATTGTGCGACTCCTTAGCAGTACACATTCACGATCCCATTAGCGGGATTCGAACCCAGGGCCTTCAGTCTCGCAAGTGAACTCTTAACCTACTCGACCACTGAGCCAACATCCATTGGTGTTAGTATCTAACACCAACCAATTGGTGACAACTCTACTGTCTTTTTCAAGTGGTAAATTTTCATGTATTTTTCTACAAAAGTTTGTTTTACATTGTTTTTCTTTTCTTTTTTCTTTTGGTTAAAAAATGCGACAAAATTCTAAGATACAAATTTAATTAGTTAACTAAACATGAATCTGAAAATTACCAGGTTGGTGGTTATTCTATTTTTTTTGTCGCTATGATTAAACAATAAAACCATTTTACTACTTTTTTATAAAAATAAAACCGAAAACAATTAAGAATTTACAAAAAAGAAGAGAAGAAAAGAAAAAGAAAAAAAAAGAAGAGGGTTAGGAATAAACTATCCCTATTTGTTCGTAGGTGTATATGTATATACAAGTGTGTGTGTGTGTATGCACTTGTGTTTCTATAATGGTAACATGTGTATCTTAGATCCTATATGGAATAAATGATAAGAAATTGCATGTTTTCATCATTTCTAGTTCAATCCCGCTCTTCTTTTTTTGTTTGAAAAATTTATCCCATATCAAAACAACACCACTGCCACCCCAACAACAACAAAAGAAAAAAAAGCATTTAAGTGATTATGTGTATTAATGAATGAATGAATAGAAAATTGATTAATCGGTGAAAAAAAATGTTTTTCAATCAGAGAATTTTCACTGATTTCACAAATTGATATAAAGTTTAAATGGAGTGTAAAGAATAGAAGAGAAAAAAAAGGGAGAAAGGATTCGTATAATTAAAGTCTTTCAAACAGATGATATATAATTCAATATTGAATGATACTATAAATAGTATATTACTATCAGAAGGGGTTTTTTTGTGGAGATTATAGTCATTTTAATAGTTGGAATCATGAGTCAGTTAAAGATAGATCATCATGGAAAACCTGAAAGAATTAGATGTCTGTCTGGTCCTAGTATGGGACTCCTCAACAATGCATATTCATGATCCCGCCTCGAGGGATTCGAACTGAGGACTCATCTGTCACGCACGCGAACACCTAATCTATAGACCACTTAGCTGGCATCTAACGGTGTTAATGTTTATCATCAACTAATTCGCAAAATTGAACGACATGTTCACCATTATCTTCGATCAGTTATTATCTTACAACAAACACGGCTGAACTCCACTGGTCACTGCTTCTTACCAGAACTCCAATAAATACCTCTTGAAGCCAGTCACTATTGAGCATATACTGATTGGTATCAGGTGTTTCCTGGATATTATGGCAATTTTAATAGGTGAGATCATAAGTCAGTTGAAGCTAGACCACCATGGAAAACCTAGAAGAACTGGGACTCCTTTACAGTGTGTATCCATGATCCCGCCCCGCGAGATTTGAATCCAGGATCTTCCAATGCTTTCAGGTTTTCCATGGTGGTCTAACTTCAATTAACTCATGATCTCAACTACCAATATTGGTATATTAATTGTTTGATTTGTTTTATTTTTGTGACTTTGTCAAGGTATAAAATTTAAATATTCAAGTTTTGTTGATCAATACATTGTGTGTTCAATTTTCAAAGTTCATAACTAAGATCCAATGAACATTGATGGATTATTTGAAGAAGTAAAGTTATTTAAGCGTTATGCTTAAATAACTCACTAAAAATAGAACGATTTTGAAATTTTTCTTGGACTATAGAGTTCAAAAGTTGTTTCAAGAAAGAAACAGTAAACATTAGGCTTGAAGAGAAGAATTACGTACAACAATACGAAGGTATGCTCTCTCCAATCAATGTGGAAACCAATGCCATTAACATTTGCTCTGAAGCATTTCGAGTTTATTTATTTTATACTCTTTCATAATATTCAATGGAATGTTGAACATTTTCCACAAAGAGAAACAGTTGTGAAAATCTTCATTACTTAATCGTATCGAACTGCTGATTCATCATAGTTTAAGATGTCTCCCATCTTACGAAGTTCCTGTATAAAATAGAACTTTTATTGTTCCAGTCTTGTAACGTTCATCATATCTTTGAATCATAATGAACAAATAAAACTGGGAAAATTCTAATTTATGGATGAACCAATCATATTTAAGATAACAGGTCTAGTATTTTGGCATGAAATTCATTCATCCATTTGGCTTAATATAGTTTTGACATTATAACTCTGATATCAGTTCGTGATGTAAACCCTAAAATCGAATTCTTAACCCTAATCATCAACTAATTCGAATTGATCACACAGGTTTATAAACTTCATTTGATCCTAGTTCATAAATGAACACCCTCAAGGTCACTTTAGCGTCGATCAAAGATCGTTCATAAATTATAGATCTCATCAGAAAAACAAACTTTTTTTTATTTTAACAAACTAAAACATTTAATTAACTACAATTCATTCTTTGATCTAACCTTTTCATAAATTTAATCAAAAACTGTCATTCAATGGTTTGAATTATGTTAGTTAATGAATAAAAGTTTAATTGTTATGATGAATTAAAATTTCCATTAAAAATCAGTAAATCAAAGAATAATGAGTAGTATCGTAAATGTATAGTTTTTATTATTTAATTGATTTTAAGTTAGTTAG